TCTCATAGCCTTTCCTGCCTGGGCTGGCTTTGAACCGCGATCTTCAGATCTCAGCCACCCGAGAAGCTAGGATTAGAGGTGTGAGCCATCGGCACCTGGAGCAGGTCCTTATTGATATCCCTTCATAGGCTTTTCTGGAACCTTCTGGGTGAACACATTCCATGTGGGTTCATTAAAGGGTTGAGGCCGAGGACAGTGGTCACTTGGGGAGACACCTATCCTGACATTGGCTGTCCTGGTAGCCAGTGGGGGGGTGAACTTGGCCACACGTGGATGTCTTGGTGGTGGGGCATTGCCCATAGTGGCAATGTCCTCACCCCTGCCCATGGCCTGGCCCCTCCATCCTGGAGCCCCACACAGCTCCCAGCTTCACCTGGCCTCCTTCCAGTGTCCTGTCTTTAAGTCTGTCTCAGGAAGCATCCCACCAGACTTGCGGCAAGGCTGTCAAGAGTGTCAGCCTGGGGGCTGGGAAGGTGGCTCAGTGGTAGAGCGCTTGCCTTGCATGCCTGAGGCCCTGGGTTCAATTCCTCAGCACCACATAAGCAAAAAGAAAAAAAGCTGGAAGTGGCGCTGTGGCTCAAGTGGTAGAGTGCTAGCCTTGAGCTGAAGAGCTGAGGGACAGCGCCCAGGCCCAGAGTTCAGGCCCCACGACCAGACCCCCCAAAAAAAAAAAAGAGTGTCAGCCTGGCAGAAGCTTCTGGAAGAGCTGACTATGTTTCAGCCCACCCTGTCTGCACTGCTGGGGCTTGTCATGCACTGTAATCCTTTTCCATGGGCTCTAGCTAAAGGAGAAGAAATTCTATTTCTTTGCCTGGCTTGGGGAGCCCTTTTTGGGGGTTCGTGAGCTAGTTTGTTGCACAGAAACTATAGCTGACCTTTTGATGAAATGTTCTCTGGGTTAAGGATGAAGAAAGAACCTGGGCGCCAGTGGCTCATGTCTGTAATTCTAGCTACTCAAGAGGCTGAGATCTGAGGACTGGGGTTCAAAGCCAGCCTGGGCAGAAAAGTCTACAAGACTCTCATCTTCAATTAACTACCCCCATGACTGACCAAAATTTTTTTTAATTAAAAAAATAGGGGCTGGGAAGGTAGCCCAGTGGTAGAGTGCTTGCCTAGCACACATGAAGTCCTGGGTTCGATTCCTCAGTACCACATACACAGAAAAAGCTGGAAGTGGCGCTGTGGTTCAAGTGGTAGAGCACTAGCCTTGAGCAAAAGAAGCTTAGGGACAGTGCTCAGGCCCTGAGTTCAAGCCCAGGACTGGCAAATTAATTAGTTAAAAATTAAATATGAGGGAAGATGCTGGTAGTGGTGGCTCATGCCTGTAATCCTAGCTACTCAGGAGGCTGAGATCAGAGGATTGTGGTTCAAAGCCAGCCTGGGCAGGAAAGTCTGTGAGACATTTCCAATTAACCACCAAAAAGCCAGAAGTGGCGCTGTGCCTTAAGTGGTAGAGCACCTGAGCAAAAAAGCTGAGAGAGGGCAGGAGGCCCTGGAAAGAACTGTTTGTGTTTTCCTGTGTGTGCCTTGATTTCATTAGTACTATTGTGAGGCTGTCTTCTGTGGGTTCTAGGGATGGGTATACAGCTGTGGCTTCATGAACTTGGAGTGCACTGGCAAAGTGAAACCACCTAGGATAGGCTGTAAGAACATGAGGCAGAGGAAGGACATGGAGTTAGGCGATAGGAGAGAGTCTCTGAGCTCAGGCCTCAAGCAGGTAAAGGAGACATGGGAAGAATATTCTGGGAGCCGCAGAGAAAGTGTGATGGGAGAACCTACTTAGGTGGTAAAGTGAGCGTGACAGGAGCTGGGGAGCATCCTGTCCTTTGCCATGGTCTCTGGTAAAGAATTTTGGGGTGCAAGTTCTGAATTTTTGACATTAGGTTTGCCTCTCCTCTGTAGGTCCATCCTGTCCCTCCTTCCATCAGTGAGCCCTTCTGGTTGGTTTCTAACCCTGGCCTGTTGCCTAGTTTCCCAACCACCTGCTGACCCTCATCTTCCTCTTTTCCCAGGTTCAAGGATGGCCCACCCCCTGTGCACTCCCATGAAGCTGCCCACCGTCACGGTGAGTGCTGAGTGCGTATGGCTGGCCCCAGAGAGCCACTGTGCTGCCAGGGTGGTGGGCAGACGCTTTGGCCACGCCCTTCTCTCCTAACCTCTTCTGGCTTCTGTCCTAGATGATCAGGCCTGGGCCCGGCCCCCAAAGCCCCCCACATTTGGGGAATTTCTTTCACAGCATAAAGCTGAGGTCAGCAATCGCAGGAGAAGAAAGAACAGCCGACCCCCGGCCAAGGCAGCACCCCGTGCCTACAGGTGGGGCCGCCCTTCCCGAGCATGGTCCACTGCCTGCTCCCCGTCCCTTAGTGGGAGAGGTAGGAGGCCATCCTTTGCTCGGCCCCCACCTGGGCCTCAGCTACTTTCTGTCCCTTCCAGTGACCATGATGACCGCTGGGAGATGAAAGAGGCAGCAGGGTCCCCTGCCCCACAGGAGCCCCCTGTGCAGGTAAGGGGGGGGGAGGCGTATATGGGGGTGTCTGGGGCCCACAGCAGGTCCCTGATGCACCTGTGTTCCCACAGCCTCCCGAGACCCAGGCCCCTGTCCACCGGCCGCCTGAGGATGAGGGCGAGGAGGACGAGGGCCAGGAGGAGGAGGACCTCGGGGTTGAGGAGGATGAAGAATGGGAGGATGTGAGTGAGGACGTGACTGAGGATGAAGAGGAGGAGGAGGAGGAGGAAACTGAGGATGAAGAGGGTACTGAGGAACCGGAGCAAGCCCAAGACCACTCGATCCTGGAGGCTGAGCCCACAGGGGACCCCACCCCAGACCAGGCCGACCCAGCACCTTCCAGGCCTCACCAGCCCCTGCAGCCCCAGGAACTGGAGGAGCCCCAGGAGCCAGGGGAGCCCAAGGAGCTCTCCCCAGCCCCAGCCACGCCTTCCAGCCCCTTCTCGACACTCACCAGCCACCAGCCCGTGCCTGACTGGGGTGAGGAGATGGAGCTGAAGTCTCCCCGGGGGGTCCACCTGCCCGACACCCTCTCTCCTGGTGAGGCCTGGCCTTCTGGGAATGCATGAAGCTGGCTGCTGTGTGTGCATGAGGGGTGTGGCAGGCCCCAGCACCCCATGTGCCCCGTTGCCCTGGTGGCCCTGGGGCTGGCCGCTCCCAGAGCCTGTCCTGCTTGTTCAGAGCTGCTACCTCCCCAATAAAGAGTTCACATCTCCAAGTGACCTTCCCCCAGTGTGTCCTTCAACCCCAGCAGCTCCCCAGCCCTCCCCCCCCCTCTGGTGTGGTGCTGTTTGGAGGGGAGGGGGCTTGACTGGGCCTCCCCTTCCCCAGGAGGCGACCCTCCAGCACCTGCCTCCCTGGAGAGTGGGCCCGGCCTCCCAGGAGCCCCGAAAGCTGAAGAGGAGGGGTCTGAGGCGACTCCAGGTGGGGGATACATGGTGTGGTTGGGGTGAAGGGGGGTGGGGAGGACTGTGGGACCAGAAGTGGGGGGGGGGCTGGAGTAGGTACCAGGACTAGGTGGGAATTCCATGGCTGGCATCTAGAGAAGGCAGAGGATGGTGCGAGGAGGCTTTTGGAAAATCAGAAAGGGTGCTCCTGGGGCTAGGCCCTCTGGGAGGAGGGGGGCAGAATAGCTGGTTTAGGATGAGCAGAATTGGTTTTAGGTGCAGCCCAGTGGGCAAGACCCAAAATGCAGAGTTGGGATTGTGGTCCCGAGTGTGGGAGCAAGAGGCTCAAGCGGTGATCCTCTGCTGGTGGTCTGGGAGGAGGGGGCTCGAGGGCCCTGCGAGGCTGGCTTGGTAGGGGCTGGTTAGGACTGTGAAGTGGATCCCAGGGCAGTTTGGGGTGCTGGGCCCTGCAGGAGCCCACTGGGTGCCTGACGGTGACCTCCCTTCACCCCAGTTGTAGTCAGGGTTATATTGCTTGGTGGAGGGGGGGGTTGGTAGGCTGTCCTCACCGCTGAGTGCCCCCTCTCTCCCCCAGAGGCGGGCCCCGAGGGCCAGGAGACCACGGAGATCACGGACTTGCGCAGGGTGCGTTTCTGCAAGGTGGTGTCTGCCGCTTCGCCCCCGGGGGCTGCCCGCTGATTGGGCCTGCCCAGCCACCCGCCCGCCCGCAGGACCACCAGGCCCCGCACTAACCGCACCGGCTGCCCGCTCCTCTGCTTCTGCCGCCTGGACAGGGTTAAGTGTGAGGGGGCGGCGCCAGGGCCTTGCCCAGCGAGCGGAGTGAGCCCTGGGGCCGGGTGCGGCCCCGATGGCCGCTGACCCGACAGGCCAGACGTGGAAGGACCCCAACTGCCCGGCGCCGCCGCGAGCTCTCCAGCCTTGCTGAGCTGTGCCGTGCCGTGGCGGGCAGGCAGTGGCTGTGCTCGCGGGCTTTTCCGTGGTGGAAGAGGTGGGGTGAAGGGGCCTTCCCGCACCCCCTGACTCTGCTCCCCTCCCCCTCCCGCAGGCCACCCCGAATTCCTGAAGACGCTGCTGGGCGGGGACGGAAGCTTCGGGGCCTGGTGCGGAGGGGGCGGGCCGAGGGGGTGACTGGCTCGGCAGGCTGTGCTCTTTCCAGGAACCCACTGAGACCCCAGGGCCCCGGGGAGCGGGAGAGAGAGCGAGGGTGGGTGCTGGAGGTGCAGGGGGCAGGGGCCTGGCTGGGGCGAGGGGTGCAGCTGGAACCCCGCAGGCCCAGGGTAGACTGAACACCCTGGGGTGGCAGGAGGTGAGGAACCCAGGGCGCCCGCTGCTGGGGGCGGGGCTACGGAAGCGGCAGGACCTAAGATCAAGGGGGCGGGGCTAGGATGGGGCGGGGCTTCGGGTAGCAGGTTTAGATGGGATTCCCAGCTCTGGGATGGGGCTGGGTCCCAGGGCTGGAGGACAGCTCAGTGCTGGAGAGGACAGTGCCTGTCGGACCGTGAAGGGAATCTCAGCCGGGAATGAGCACGTGGCCAGGCTCGGATGGAAACTCAAAGGCATGGGCGAGGAGGCGGGGCGAAGAAAGGGGCGGGATTAAGCATTGGGGCGGGGCCTGTACGAGGAGGCGGGGTCAGGGCTTTCATTTGGTGATTGGCCGGAGGCGGGAAGGGCGTGTCCATGGATAGGGAGGCCCGCCCTCTGGGCGTGGCCACGCAGGCCGGGGGCGGGCCTCGGGCGTGGGCGGGGCCTTGCGGGCGGCCGCGCGGGCGGAGTGAGCAGCCGCGATGCGGGGCACGAGCTGCGTGGGCGGCGGCGGCGAGAGCCCGGGCGGCGCGGGACTGAGCGAGGGCCCGCGGGGCCGGTGGCTGCGCCTGGCCCCGGTCTGCGCCTACTTCCTCTGCGTGTCGCTGGCCGCCGTGCTGCTCGCCGTGTACTACGGTCTCATCTGGGTCCCCGCGCGGCCCCCCGCGGGCCCCGGCGGCCCCGCGCCCAGCGCGCCGCTCCCGCCGTGCGCCGCCCGCCCCGGCGCGCCGCCCGCGCCGCCGCCCGCCCCCGCCGCCGTCTCCTGCCTCCTGGGGGCCCCCGGCGGGCCGCGACCCCAGCTCGAGCTGCCGCGGAGCCGCCGCCGCCGCCGAGACCCCGGGAGCCGCCCGACGCCTGGAGGAGCGCCCGGGGCCGCGGGGGGCCCAGGACCCGGGTAACCTCCCGCCCACCCTGCGGGGCCGGCCCTCCTCCGGAGCCCCCGGCACCCGCCCAGCGCCCGCGCCCAGCGTCCCCGGAGCCGTCTCCCGGAGCAGCGGAGCGGCGGGGCCCGCTGCGGCCCATCTCCGACCCCGCGGGGCTCCTGATCCTCCCCGGGGGGGGGCCTGGGCCCGGAGCCCGCAGCCGGGGGGCCGCTCCTCTCCCCGTCTCCACCACAGCCATCTGCAATAAACTCCAGCCTCAGCTGCCTCGCGGTGTCTGTGTTGTCTCTGGGAAATCCTTCCTGCAGTCAGACCCCAGGCCCCCCGCCCCCCGCTTTCCCAGGGGTCCCCATGCGTCCCTCACCCTCCTCGCGGGCAGTTGGGGGGGCGCGGTTGGGCAGGGCCACTGAAGGTCAGTGACAGGCGGGCCTGGGGAAGCGCTGTGTACAGCCAGAGCATGGGGGACAGTTGGCCTAAAGCCCCGGACCGTGTCACATGCCCTGTCCCCTCCTCCTCCTCCTCTCTCCTTTAGAAGCCACAGTTTGGATTCCCCAGGGATATCAAGGCAGCCCATAGCGCTGCCAGCCAGGGGCCTCTCCCCGCTATCTCCAGTGCCCCTCATTTTGAGTTTCCAGCCCCAGGGTCCCCGTTGCTCCTCCTTGTGGCTGTCTGGATGCACCCTGTCTCCTTCCACCTTTTTCTCTCGCTTGGCTGTCCACGCAGTTCTTCTTAGCTGTGTCCTGGTCTCTACCTCCAGCTCCTCCTCCCACCTGTCCTTTCCACTCCTCCTTTCCCGTGTCTCCCCAGTCTCAGCCATGCTACACCCCTGTGCTGCACAAGCCTCCCTTCCTGATCGTGTGTCCCCTAGACGTTGGGGGCTGTGGGGAGCAGCGGGCACCCCTCTGTAGGGCTGGTCTGCTGAGCCAGGCAGAGAAATAGTAGCTGGTGTGAGGCATACTGCATGTCTTCCAGACCCAGGGTATTTTCAACTTAAAATGGGTTTGTGGGAGAGGTCTCTGTTGATTGTTGACCCGGCCTATGGCTTTTCTATGGCTCCTCCATTCACTCTCCCCACCCACCCACCCCCCCCCCCCCCCCCCGCGATCCCCCCCCCTTGAACTCAAGGCCTGGGCACTGTTCCTGATCTTTTTTTTTTTTTCTTTAATTTTTTTATTGTGAAAATACTGTACAGAGGGGTTACAATTACATGGGCAAGATAATTAGTACATTTCTTATCAAGCATTGTAGCCTCCTCCTTTGTTTCCCCTTCCCAACCCTTCCCATCTCCTGATCTTTTTTTAAATTTTTTTTTGGGCCTGGTCGTGGGGCCTGAACTCTGGGCCTGGGTGCTGTCCCTCAGCTCTTCAGCTCAAGCTAGCGCTCTACCACTTGAGCCTCACCACCACTTCCAGCTTTTTTCTTTTTGCTTTTGTGGTGCTGAGGAATCAAATCCAGGGCCTCAGGGATGTAGGCAAGCACTCTACCACTGAGCCACCTTCCCAGCCCTGATCTTTTTATGCAAGGCTAGTGCTCTACCACTTGTACCTCAGCGCCAATTCTGGCTTTTTTTCTGAGTAGATTATTGTAGATAAAAGTCTCATGGACTTTCCTGCTGGGGCTGACTTCAAACCACAACCCTTAGCTTTCAGCCTCTTCAGTAGCTAGAGCCACAGGTGTGAGCCACTGGCACCTGGCTTCTGGCTTCCTCTATTCAATTGTTATAGACTTTTTTTTTTTTTTTTGTGGTCGTGGGGCTTGAACTTGGCTTGGGTGCTGTCCCTCAGCTCTTCAGCTCAAGGCCAACTCTTTACCACTTGAGCCACAGCACCACTTCCTGTTTTCTGGTGGTTTATTGGAGATAAGGAGTCTCATGAACTTTCTTGCTCGGGCTGGCTTTGAACTGTGATCCTTAGATCTCAACCTCCTAAGTTGCTAGGATGATGCCTGGCTTTTTTTTTTTTTTTTCCATCCTGGGTCTTGAACTCTGGGGCTAGATGCTGTCCCTAAGCTCCTTTTGCTTAAGGCTAGCACTCTACCACCTGAGCTACATGACTACTTCTAGTTTTTTTTTTTTTTTCTGTGAGTTACTAGAGATAGAGTCTCCTGGAAAGCTGGGCACCAGTGACTCAGGCCTGTAATTCTAGGTACTCAGGAGGCTGAGATCTGAGGATAGCAGTTCAAAGCCAGCCCGGGAAGGAAAGTCTGTGAGACTCTTAGCCAAAAAACTGGAAATGGTGCTGTGGCTCAAGTGGTAGAGCACTAGCCTTAAGTGAAAAACCATGGGACAGCACCCAGGCCCTGAGTTCAAGCCCCAGGATCAATCCCCCTCCCATCCCCACCCCCCACATCCCCCAAGAAACAAATGAAGGTCTATAGGCCCAAAGAGGGGCTGAGCCTAGGATGGGGAGGAGGGCTTGCCAGCCCCGCATGAAGCCCCAAGTCTTCCAAGATGTAGAGGACTTGTGGGTGTCATGGAGGGACCCGGCCAGGGTGCCCCATGCACAACCCAATGAGAACGCCAAGAGGAAAGCCAGTCACTTCCTCCCTTCATCCGTGTCTGCCCCTCATGCTTTAAAACCCGCAGCTTAGCTGTTGGGAGGAGCACTCGGCCATCGCAGAGCGGGAGGAGCTCCAATACCGTGAGTGTGGGTTTATTTATTTATTTATTTATTTTTTTGGGTCCGGTCGTGGGGCCTGAACTCTGGGCCTGGGCGCTGTCCCTCAGCTCTTCAGCTCAAGGCTAGTGCTCTAACACTTGAGCCACAGCGCCACTTCCGGCTTTTTTCTTTTTGCTTATGTGGTGCTGAGGAATCGAACCCAGGGCCTCTGGCATGCAAGGCAAGCGCTCTACCACTGAGCCACCTTCCCAGCCCTGCACCCCTTTATTCTTTGAGGGAGCCCTAGGGAGGGAACCCAGAGCTGTGCAGCTACCACTTGAACCACATCCATAAACCACATTTCTTTGTATTCTTTCCGAGGGAAGGATTACTGAGATTTGAACCCAGGGCCCTGTGCTTGCTAGGCAGACAGTCTACTACTTTCTAGGCAGGGTCTTGCGCTCCACCCTTGCCCTGGCCAGGTAGCCAGGACTTTAATCCTCCTATCTCTGCCTCAAGAGCCTTCAGGCTTACAATATCAACCCAGCTTATTTTGCTTTTGACATGGGGGTCTCACTAACTGCCCAGGATGGCTTTGAAGTTGAGATCCTCCTGCCTCTGCCACTTGGGGAGCTGAGATGATGCATGTGGGTGCCTCTCTGTCTCCCTAATTCTCATTTCTCATTCTGATTCCTGCTCCCAACCCCAAGCCAGCTACCGTCTTTTTCCTAGTCTAGTCCAGGTTTGGGATCTGGGCAAGGAATAAAGTTGTGAGGAAACGGTAGAAATCATAATTGCCTTGTATGACTGGGGCTATAGACAGTTCTCAGGGGGGAAACCCTTGAGTTACATTTCTTAAAATGAGCCAGGAGTGGTGGCTCACACCTGTAATCCCAGCTACCCAGGAAGTTGAGATCTGAAGATCACAGTTCAGAGCCAGCCCAGGCAGACAAGTCCACAGCTCATTTATCTTCAGTTAACCAACAAAAAGCCAGAAGAAGAGCTGTGGCTAAAGTAGTAGAGCGCCAGCCTTGAATAGAAAAAAAAGCTCACGGACAATGTCTAGGTTCTGAGTTCCAGTTGTAGGACTGGCGCGCACACACACACACACACACACACACACACACACATCCTCAATAATGAAGACTTATAGCACTTGGGAGGTGCCCTGGGTTCCATTCCCAGTCCTTCAAAAAGCACAGAAATCTAGAGCAATCAAAGCTTGGAGCTGGACCTGCTTGCATGGGACTTCAGTCCATCTGGGCTACAGAGAAGGGAAACTGAGGTTCAGGCAGAAAGCGGGGATGACCTAGATCCTTCAGTGGTTGGTGATAGAAGCTATGTCCCTTTCTGTGTGTATGACCCCAGTTCCTGAACCCTCACCAGCTCAGCCACAGTTTTGTGTCTGTGGTCAGGAAGGCCCAAACATTGCTTCATGGAGTGAAAGAGGAAATGGCCAGGAAGGAGATTGCTCCATAACCTGAAGAATGATGCGGGCAAATGGGGCATCCAGAAGCGAGCCATGCTGCCTGCTGCCTTTTTCTCTGCCATGAAATATTCCAATGGTAGAAAAGGCAGTCATGAGAAAAGTCACTCTTCTTCGCCCTCTGGTGTTCCTGGCATCTTGTCATGGTCCTTTTGGTTTTGTTTTGTTTTGTTTTCAGTGGTGGGGCTTGAACTATGGGCCTGAGTGCTGCCCAGAGCTCTTTTGCTTAAGGCCAGCACTCTGCCACTTGAGCCACAGCGCCACTTCTGGTTTTCTGGGTGGTTTATTGGAGATAAAAGTCTCATGGACTTTCCTGCCCAGGCTAGTTTTGAACTGTGATCCTCAGATTTCAGCCTCCTGAGTAGCTAGGATGACAGTCGTGAGCTACCAGCACCCAGCCAGCATGACATTTTTTTTGGTTGTTGTTGGTCCTGGGGCTTGAACTCAAGAGACTGGGCGCTGTCCCTGAGCTCTTTTGCTCAAGGCTAGTGCTCTACCACTTTGAGCCACTGTACCACTTTGCCATTGTCCTTAAAGGCAGCCCTGGGAACCAATCTGTGATGGAATCTTCTAGAAGTAGGTTATTGATGACCAAGCTTTGGGAACAAAGTCAGGAGCAGCAGTTAGACATAAGAAACCCTGAGTCCAGGGCTGGGAAGGTGGCTCAGTGGTAGAGCGCTTGCCTTGCATGCACGAGGCCCTGGGTTCGATTCCTCAGCACCACATAAGCAAAAAGAAAAAAGCCGGAAGTGGCGCTGTGGCTCAAGTGGTAGAGCGCTAGCCTTGAGCTGAAGAGCTGAGGGACAGTGCCCAGGCCCAGAGTTCAGGCCCCACGACTGGACCCCCCCCCCCCCAAAAAAAAAAAAAAAGAAACCCTGAGTCCAGTTCAACTTATGCCTCTATTGTGTGCCAACCATGGACATGGGCCCTTTCTGATCTCTCTCTCTCTCTCTCTCTCTTTCTGGTGCGTGTTACTGTGCCTGGCTTCCTTTCTGGGTGTTATTCTTTCTATCTTCCCCCACCCTTTCCTTCTTTATTTCTTCTCATTCTCTTTTAGGCAAGGGCAATAAACTATAGTCCCTGCAAGGCAGATGACTTGACAGACACCCAGCCCTTTTTTTTTTAAATTTTTATTTATTTTTTATTGTGGAAATACTGTACAGAGG